GGAAAATTAAAAATTGGAAACATTCGTATTTTACTTGTTATTAATCATATTTTCAAATTAAATTATAACTGGCCATTGTCATACAAACAAACTTTTTCGCAAAACTTTCTGAATGGCCTGGCATTTAAACCAGTGAGGTAATATCTATTGAGCCGAGATGTGATCTTTGACCGCTGATTGCAGCCTGAATATCGAATTTAAAAGCGTAAGAAAACTTTTATAGGGGTTCATGTGCGATAAAAGCCGTAATAAGAGTATTTGCAAATGATCCAATGTATCCAACCATATATGATTAGTTCATAAATCCAGCAACCGATGTGAAAGAGAGGTTAGGCTCAAGACCGTACCTTAAAAGCTGTTTCTCATAGAAGATCATGAAATGATGAATTGCGAAATTAGGATGAACTGTTATTATGATGAAGAAATAAAGCTGAATATATTTCCTTCATTAGTTCGCCCATGTGGTGTTTAAATGAACTTCTCACAGGATAAATTATTTATATTTCTCCTTAAGTCCTCAACTATGCTTAATGCGAAATTAATTTCAAATACTTGATGATTATATACAATATATAAATCACTTTTTAAGAATTAATTACATTCAAGGCGTATGTAGAATCAAGTTAAAAATAACAATGCTCGTCAAAATGAGAAAAGTTATAATATTTCAAACAAACGTCACTTGAAACTTATTTGGCAGCTGCCAGCTACGTTGATTATTTTACTATTGCTTGCGGAGATTGCTATTAATTCTTGAAAAAGCTATAAGAGCAAATCTACCTTTGAAAGAAGACGTAATGTAGGTTACATTATTTATTTAAAAAATAAAGTACGCCAGCAGAAAAATCAATCAAGGGGTTTATGTATTATTAGGATTTTCTTTTTTTTCAACATTTCAAAGTCTTATTTTTTATGGTAAATATTTTTCATTCTATCCCACTTGATGTTAACTGGTGAAGATAGTAAAGCTTAGCTTTATAAAAGCCCATTCAATTGCCTTGAAGGCACATTGTTATCGGGAAGACAGATGCTCGCAAACTTTTCCACTCCTTTGCTGTTCGCATTACGAACGAAGAAGCAAAACGTTAAATTAAAATGCGTTAAATGTCGAGAACATGGTCGAAAACAAACGCTGTCATGACTCTCTTAGTAGATTTTTTTGTTATTTAAAAAACGTTACCCCCACACTAGGATTTTCTGCTGTATCGTGGAGGCAGTTTACACACACAAATTGCACAAGGACAAACATACAGAATCGTAACAATTATTTGTAGGCCATACAAATACTTGTTCCGTGCGGGGTTCGAACCGCGGTCCCCAGCGCAACAACTTATTGCTAAGTCACTGCGCCACGCAGCCGTCAAACGTCTGTCCGTCTGCTTAGTGTGTTAAGTACGAGATTCACTCGTACGTATCATCTCGTACTTATCTCACTAAACAGACGGATTGTCCAAAACTTCCCACTATCAGCCTGTGAAATTTCCGTCCTGCATTTTTAAATGGGATTTAGGTGGTAGATTGCTACACATATTAAATACCACATTGCAGCAATGTCTAAGAATCGTATCATCGAGCCGCGTGCTATCAATACGTACGGCGAGCGAACATGTAGCTACTTAATACCTCGGCCTATCAATAATATGTCGTCAGAATTGGTGGATAATGTCAATAAAAATAGTTAAGTATAAGTTAAAGGATCACTTTCTTAAGTTATTATAACGTGTTCTCTGATATATTTTTTTTCTCTGTATGTTTGCATGTTTTTTTTTCCTTTTTACATATCTATAATACAATATTACGCGAATATCTTATAAAATTGTACTCTCGATAGCATAGGTATAAACCTTAGTGGTTTCTTATGTGCTATCACTATAAAAATTTGTAATGCTTGTTCATATGATAAATAAATGAAAAAAAAAGTTAATTTGCATTAAGGAGCCACCTAAATTAAAGAAAAACCTTCAGAAAACCAAACTTCGAGACAATAAGACGAATGCAGAGTTTCAGAAGTAGGATAATTATTGTACGGTTTCATCATCATTATCATCATCATCATCATTACATATCACAAGTCCACTGCTGAACATAGGCCTCCCCCAAGGAATGCCACAAACCACGGTCCCGAGCTACCCGCATCCATTGACTTCTTGCATGTTTTACCAGGTCGTCACTCCATCTAGTGGGGGACGCCCTACACTTCATCAACTGGTACGAGGCTGCCACTCGAGAAGCCTGAATAATTGTAGAGTTTATTAGTTTTAGAATTAAAATATAAATTCATAATAAACACTGTATACGGTATATATCTAATTCTCTTATGTTTGGCTCTTATTGGTGTCGCTTTTTCTTTTCAAATTCAATTTCAAAAGTTTCAAATCACAACGATTCTGAAGGAATTTTCACTTCTCCAATTTGCAATAGCTACATGGAGTTTTAATTGTCCTACAAAAACGTGACTTTACGACCTAAAGAATCCTTTAAGTCTTTCGATTAGAGCAAAGTAATTTAAAACACTCTTAAGACTCAGTATCGTCGAACATTAATTGAGACCATTAATTTCGCTTAAAACTTTTCTCATTTATTAAAAAAAATGTAACAACGAACGACAAACGACTGACTCATTCGACATTCTGTTAATGTTCGCTATCATCCTCCCCATTCAATGAAGCTGTTTCAATTAGGATTTTTGTTAACATTTTGTGTTAGTTTATTCGTCGGTATTTTTTTCGTTGGGCACCTCACTTTGGTAGATGTGTACGCAATAAAACGCAATAAAGATACAGCCTATATACGCGCCATTTTTAAGCACAGGCCTCTTATTTCTGAGAGGGTTTAGGGCATGGAAGTGTCCATCGCGCTGCTCCGAGGCGTGTTGGTAGCTTATGTCTTCGTTAATTTCTCAGACATGCAGGTTTTCTCACGATATTTTCCTTCATCTACGTGGTAAAACAGAGTTTCAAATGGTAATTAAACTTTTCAATGGTACCAACGGGGATCGAACCCAGGTTGCCGTGGTCTCTCGGGGGCTTAGTGCTCGCTCTAGATATACTGTAGGAAACTTATCACATAAATGTACTTAACAAAGTACTTTAATATTATCTTGATAAAAGGATCCCCAGTTTGAAATGTCCGAATGGACTGTGTGTCCGCAATTTAATCGAAACCGCACAATTTACAACATTGTCAACGGCTTTATTTACGGCAGGCCGCTAGTTACTACAGATATAGCATTATATAGCCTTCCATTTCAGTCCTCAGAGGTGACAACGCATCTGCATATTGATTCTTAATCGAGATTATGGGCCACAACATCCACTTATCATCAGGTGGACTGTGTTTTCGTTTGTCAACCTTATTCTATAAAAAATATTAATACAAAACCATTATAAATAAAAACATTATTAAAAACATGTCCATGTTCTTTCTCAAAACCTTTATTCTTTATACTTCCAATAAACATTCCACAATAATTATCATTATCATCATCATCAGCCGATAAAACTCCACTGCTGAAGTTAGGTCCCTTCTTTCGTACGGAGAATTTGCCTGCGTCGTCACAAACATCGACAGTTTGATTGACAACTACAGTACCAGACAGTTCGCAACTTTTACGCTGCTTCTCGTCGCTGGTCTAACTATTTTGTTAATCTAGCTAAATGTAATGTAATCATTTACACTGATCTGATGCACTGATTTTCCTCGCATTTTCTATAGTTTTCTTTTGCAATATCCACGGGATGAATTGAGGGGATAGATTCTCTCCACCCGTCACCACATAGCTGTAAATTCTAATAATTACATAATAATTATAAAGTTTTTTTTTTAATAGGTAAGGGTGACAAACGAGCACACTGTCCACCTGATGGTAAGTGGTTGCTGTGACTCTTCATCACATCCCATCACAAGTCCACTGCTGAACATAGGCCTTCCCCCAAAGAATACCATAAAACACGGTCCTGAGCCACCTGCATCCATCGACTTCTTGCTTGTCTTACCAGGTCGTAATTCCATCTAGTTGGGGGACGCCCTACACTTCGTCCGCTGGTACAAGGCTGCCACTCGAGAACCTTTTTCCCCATGAGTTGTCGGTTCTTCGAGCTATATGGCCGGCCCATTGCCACTTCAGCTTACTAATCCGTTGGGCTATGTCGGTTACTCTGGTTCTACTGCGGACATCCTCATATCTAAGTTTATCACGCAGAGAAACTCCGAGCATAGCCACACATAGCTCGCTGAGCAACCTTGAGCTTCCTAATCCGGCCAGCAGTGATGTACCACGTCTCAGTTCCATAGGTCATCATCACCATAGACATCTACATTTTTCCTCAATAAAGAATCAAAATGCAGATGCGTGGTCACCCGTGAGGACTAAGATGGAATGCCTCTTTTAGTGTAAAATGGGTCTCCGGTTCTCTACACTCATCATACGAAACACACCAGTGTCAAACTGCCATTTTACGCTGGTATTCTGTGAGAGTGTGGTCCTTCCCCGGTCGAGCGGAGCCATTCGGGCTACAACTATACTGCTAATAGAGCTGCAGCACGGCTCTACCGCGTATAAAAAAAAATAAACATTTTTATTGACAATCCATCGTATTTATTCTTTGTTATCTATTTTCTCACATGCATAGAGTGTGTGAAACTTTAAAGTATAAAAAAATAAGGCGGAGAATTAAACGCCGCTATTAGTTCCGGTCCGTTAACATATTCGCAAATCAACTGCCGTTTTCGCTACAAGACAATAACCATGGCATCCATCCAATTCTGAAACAGTAATTAATTTGTTTGCAATAAATTAATGACAGTGAACATAAAACAAGAATTAGTGTTTTGGTCTGCTTGTTCAAATCAATCTGATTCGATGGCCATGTGCTAATAATTAATAACCGACGTATAAAAGAAGTTAAAAGCGGTACTGTCGCCAAGATAATTGTGTTGTAGCTGAAATGTAGGAAAAATCTGTCCCCGGACGAATCTGAGCCAACCTTTGTGTCAGTTGCAAACGCTTGCGGCTAGTTGTTCAGTTCATTCAGTGAAAATAGGTGCTTCAGCTACTAAAAGTAAATTGGAATTTTTTTTTCAAGATATATTAATTTAATAACAGTATTTGAAACTAAAATACTTGTTATGATGGTAAGATACTTTTCTTTAATTGGATTATTAAATTTATTGATTCATTAACAGAAAGGACAATTAATTATAGTTTATTATTAAAAAGTTTAAATTTTTGCCGACGGATTTAAAAAAAAAGGTTTTTCAAAATTGATTTTCAGGAGGATCTCGACAAGGAACAAATTGCCAGTAAGTATCCAAATTTTTTATTTATATCTAAGCAATAAAAACCTTAACTTTTTTTTAAATTTAACCGATTAAACATTTATTATATTTTACAGAGTGTCAGGTTTAAGTTTACCAATTAAGAAGTTTCATTAAAAAGCAATAAATTGTTAAATTACATAATTTACGCTGCAAGTGCATGAAGTTCCAACAGTTTGTTCTTGTCATTGTTAAACTTTAGTAAAAAGTGTACTAATGCTGTACTTATTCAGTTAAAATATAATAATGTAATTATTTTCAGTTCTAAGGAAAGCTTTTGAAGCTTTTGACCATGAAAAGAAAGGATGCATCGGCACAGTGATGGTGGGCACAATCCTGGGAATGTTAGGTCATCAAGTCACTGATGAGTCCCTCGCGGAGATTATCAATGAGGTGGACGTTGACGGTTAGTGTTATGGAAATTATATTAATGGTTTTACGTTTAAAAGACCTACGATCCTGGTCTAATTTATATTAGTGTGAGAATGATATTAATCAGTTCTAGTGATGAAAGAAGTCAGTGTCGACATATATAAGTATTTTATTTGCATAATATATGACAAGAACATTAATTTTTGTGATAATATGTTATTCTACCAAGAATTCGAAATAACTTAAATTTTATATTAAAATACCTTTACACCTTGGTGTGATATTTTTTAGTCTCAACTTTAGCTAAATTCTTTTATTTTGTTAATAATAATATGTACAATTTATGTTCAATAATTTTATACCTCTTAATTTTCTTTATTGTAACACAAGGTTACTAAGTGATAAGCACTATTATAGTGAGCAAATAAATACTTTAATACTTGTGTAGGATATTGTAATAAGAGTATTATTTCACAAACAATTTTACACAGAATATTTTATTACAAATAACACATAAATCTGCACTTTATACTAATGTTAATTTATAAAAGTTATTAAATTTTCACATTGAATTTTTAGGATCTGGTGAATTAGAGTTCGAAGAATTTGTCACCTTGGCGTCAAGGTTTATGGTGGAAGAGGACGCTGAAGCAATGCAACAAGAACTTAAAGAAGCATTCCGATTATATGACAAAGAAGGTATTAATCTAAGCCGATTAAAACCAAAATCTGTTTTATACGTGGCCGAAAATTACTTAAATCATAGATAAAATATAGGGGTGAAATGGAGAAACTTTATATTTTTCTTCACTATCAGCCCGTAGCTCACTGCTGGATATGGGCCTCTCCCGTTTTAAGTAGGTAGTCTTAATCGTCACATTTGACAGGTGGATTGACGATCGCAGTACAAATACCTCTCTCTGACGCTAATCCCCATCACGCTTCTGGATATTTTAGATCTTGCGTTAAGAGATGGTTATGCCACCAATTATCAGAACCAATTTTTTTATAGAATAAAGGTGACAAACGAGCACACAGCCCACCTGATGGTAAGCGGTCGCTGTGACCCATCTACATCTATCTTCGTTTGCGAATCAAAATGCAGATGCGTTATCAGCCGTGAGGACTAAGATAGAATGCCTCTTTTCTAGTAAAAAGGGTCTCCGCTTCTCTACACTCACCATACAAAACACAGCAGCATTAAGCTGCTATTTTACGTTGTTATTATATGAGAGCGGGGGCCTTCCCCGGTCATTCATGCTACAACTATACTATTAATATAGCAGCAGCATGGCTCTACCACGTATATAATTTTACTGGCAATTCCATTGTTTCTTAGCCATATAATATTACTGGCAATTCCATTTGTTGCTTCTAACGACCCCCATCGAAATGGGGTTTACAGATTCACTTTCACTGCCACCGCAAAGCTCTGAATATAATATAGGTACTCTATTTTCTCCTAGTGCCAACCTCAACCGTCCTCATCCCATCATCGAGTTCGATCATCATAGTTTTTTAAAAATAGAATATGGGTGACAAACGAGCACACAATCCACCTGATGATAAGTGGATGCTGTGCTCCATAGATCTTCAACTAAAAATCAAATGCAGATGCGTTATCACCATTGAAGAGAAAGATATTATTTCTAACAGAGGTAGAGCCACACGGCAGCTTTTGCTGTCGCACGGATGGGCCGGCTTGAACCGGGGTAGTAACACGACCTCACAGAAAACTAGCGCGAAGTAGAGGTTTACCTCTGCGTTTCGCTTGGTGAGTGCAGGTGGCCGGAGGCCTTTTTTACTGGAAATGAGGCATTCTATCTTAGTCTTCACGGGCGACAACGCATCTACATTTTGATTTGTAACAGAGGATAGATGTAGATGTCTATGGGCCGCAGCAATCACTTACCATCAGGTGGACTGTGTGCTCGTTTGTCACCCTTATCCTATGAAAAAAAAAAGATGGGATGCCTCATTTTCAGTAATAAGGGTCTCCGGTTCTCTACACTCACCATACAGAACAGAGCAGTATTAAGCAGTACAGCAGTACTGAGCAATTTAGAAATCGGTAGGCAAAACTTTTTGCGACCCTACGCTATGTTTTTGAGTTTGCTGTAGTTATGCAAACATTAACCTCACATATGTCTGAGGCTCTTTTAACCCAAGATTTTGCTTTCAAACAATCTCGGATAGTTGTACTAAGATCCACGTATGTCAAAAGAGGGTCACCTTTCAATTAAATTATGTTGGTCAACAGTTCACGTTAGCGATTTGTTCTTTTACGTTAAAGATAAAGTTTATCAAGGGCATTTTAAATATTTACCAAAGAATCTGAATTCTCAATCTGGTTTGCATTGTAATCTGGTATAATTTAGTAAAAATGAAGTTTTACATCCGTATAGAAGGGTAGTTATGTAAAAGAGGCACTGTTTCCTGCAAATTAACTCCTTAAGGGTGGTTTTTGAGAGAACAAGTTGAAGAGATGTAGAGATAGTGTGCATCCCCTAAATGGTGGTCATCCAAAGAGATAAATTACATTTACTTTCACCCATATTTAAAGTAATGTTACAGCTTATCTGCGTTCCGAAGCTAGGCATATCCTTCCTTTCATTTCTAAATGGATTAACCTGTTGCATTTGCACTCTGCTAATTAACAAACTTAGTCTTCTTAGTCTAATGACCAACTGGTAACCCAGCTGATCAATAATTGAAAGCAGTGTTATCAGTGCTAAGTGCTTTACGCTTATTAACTAGCCTCCTCAGTGAAGTGAGAATAAACAAATCTTTCAATAACTCCTACACCCCTGTAAACATATTTTGTAGGATTCAAGAGATTTCATAATCAGAAATATTATGATTTATTGTTTTTTTTTTTTTCAGGTAACGGCTACATCACAACAAGTGTTCTCAGAGAAATCTTAAGAGAATTAGACGACAAAATCAGCGCTGAAGAATTAGACATGATGATTGAAGAAATTGATTCAGATGGTTCCGGTACTGTTGATTTCGATGGTAAGCAAATTATGAATTTTGCCTTCTATTCAAAGTAAATACGAGAAAATAATATAACGCATGGTTTACATTAATCACACGTATTCAAATATTATTATTTGTAATTAAATTTTAAATGGCACTTGTTCCGAAAATTGTTTTTGAATTTCAAGAAAATCTTTGATTAAAATATGAGGTTAAAGTGTCTCAGCAAATCTAAGATAAACTTTGGATTTGTTTGTGTATTGTTCGCAGTACACAAGTCCAAACTTTTAATTCTTCCATTCCTGTGTTATTATTAAAGAAATAGACATTCTTTATCAGAATATTTTTTTGTTACAGAATTTATGGAAGTTATGACAGGAGGAGACGACTAATTACACAAATGCAGCCTGGCCTTAACATCTGCAAAATATTAAGTTCCTACATAAGTTTATGCAATTCGTTGATTTAATATTTAAATTACAAAAATAAAGTTTTATATGTTATTCATTTTAACATTTTTATATATTAAAATTAATTAATCGCTTTACATTTCACTAAAAGTAAAGTAGCCAAAGATTTTAAAAATCACTAATACATGCTTACCTAAAAGGCAATGCCGTAAAGATCTTATGCTATCTTATCTTATGCTTATAAGGCAATATAATCATTTGATATTTTATCAGACATTAAAGACTTAGATGAGTGACGGCAAGGCAGAGTCAAAGGGCGGGCGTCTAGTATAACGATCAATCTAAAACCCAGTGGAGCTAACGGCAAAAATTTGAATGATTTTGAAATTAAACTGATGAGCAGAATCGTCCGAATACAAATAAATATTTTGAAAGAATTTTTTTTTAAATAAAACTGTTGAAATGAAGTACTTAGTTAATGAATATAAAAATAATCATATAACACATAAAAGAGACAAGAGTTCTTATTGATTGTATTGTTAGTGCCTACCTGGCAGATATTGCCAAAAGTTTCAAATTGTTTGATTAGTAACTGCAGTTGCGGCGTAAATAGGGGGGCTGTGGAGACGGTACGCCCCGGGTACCAATCACCAAGAAGTGACAACGACAACTCACTCACAGCCAGAGAACACTTACAGAAGTATTACTCCGCAAATACATACTAATAAACAAATAGCTACCTAGTATAGTATCTACCCGCATAAAAATTATCTCAATATGGATCGAAAATATTATTTTTATATAATATCAAACATAATTTAATGTCCTAAATAAATGATTACAGGTTATCGAAGAAGAAGGTAGCGCGTGTTGCAACACAGTCAATCAGTAGTTTGTTTATAACCACCGCATATTCCCGTAGTACATCTAGAGCTTCTCATATTCATCGTACAATGGGGCTATTCTTAGTATGTTCCAAATCTGACTGAAACTTTGTCCAAGATTTTTTTTAATTATTTGTGTTTCGGTGGCTTCGCGTGAAAGAAGTTTTTTTTAAATCTCAAGTTAATAAAATCTTTCAATTTTATCTATCGAAGAGGCCAAGAAAGTAAATTTTGATAATGTAATAGAATATTTTACCTTAAATTTTACCACCGTGCAGTAGCGGTAAGAATGTCCACTACCCAACCTACTTCCCGTGGGTGTCATAAGAGACAACAGAGGGAAACTGAGGCAGAAGTTGGGCATGAAGAGTTAGAAGAGAGAGGGTAGACACGGTACTCCTCGAACCCGGCAACTTGTTCTATCACCGGGAGAGCGACCATCCTTCCCCAAGGAGGTGTCGGATTTATCGTCCACAAGTCTCTTGTTAACAAAGTTGTAAAGATTGGGAGTGTGTCGACGAGGGTTGCGTATTTTATACTCAAAATCACCAAACGGTATTCGCTGCAGGTCATACAAGCTTGCGCTCCAACCTCCGCACATCCCTATGAAAAGTAAAGGAAATGTATGAGGATATCTCTAGGACCATGCATTTCTCCAAACCCCACTATACGGTGTTATTGGAATACTTCAACGAAAAACTAGGCACAAGAGAGATGGATGAGCTGAAGGTAGGGAAATTCGGGACAGGGCAACAGAAACAAAGTGACTGACTTCATGGAGAAAGAGGGACTCTTTTTATCAACGCTTTCTTTCAGAAGCGGGCTCACAGAAGTGGACCTGGTCGATCCCCGACACGACGGTTCGACAATAAATGAGATTGACTTCATACGACTACTACTGTAACTATTCAGTGATGACTCAGTGATTGCGTGGGTGAAAACTGGCAGTGATTACCGAATGATAAGAGGCACACTGAACCTAAACAGTAAGCTGGAGTGGTCATGTTTAATGAAGTCAACGCTCCGTGCCCCTCGTGCTCTGATCCAAATCCTCGAAAACTTTCAGCTTGACTTACAAAATTGTTTTCAATGCCTAGAACACTGCAATAAAATGGATAATATAAGCTAATATGAGCTAACGACGGGCTGAGTTTTGCAAGACCGATCGTATAAGAATACAAAACCTCTCCGATCACACTCTTAATCTCGTGGCTATTAGACGGGAATGAAGCAATACTCTTGAGAAGATTTGACAGCATACATGCAACTGAAGAGACAGATTTCAGAGAAGAAGCGATTGAGAGGAACCAGAGTTCCAAAGTCTTTGCCAGAGATCTGTCTGCTAGCAAGAGACATTTTACGAAGCTGAAGCCCGAATGTGGCCACATCGGTTCCGGTAGACCTAAGATTTTGAGTGAAATTGAGTTTCTATGGGTAGCTGCACACGTCAGTGTTTGAGACATACGCAAGTGATACAATGATCCAAGAGCAATTATTATACGACACTAATCCGATGATATCCTGGACGTCATCTTCATCATCATTACTACCTTTCATAAGTCCACTGCTGAACATAGGCCTCCCACAAGGAATGCCACAAAGCACGGTCCTGAGCCACCTGCATCCATCGACTTCCTGCATGTCTTACCAGGTCGTCACTCCATCTCGTGGAGGGTCGCCCTATGCTCCGCCTACCGGTACGAGGCTGACACTCAAGAAACTTTCTTCCCCATCGGTTGTCGGTTCTTCGAGCTATATGGCCGGCCCACTGCCACTTCAGCTTACTAATCCGTTGGGCTATGTCGGTTACTCTGGTTCTACTGCGGATGTCCTCATTCCTAAGTTTATCACGCAGAGAAACTCCGAGCATAGCCCTCTCCATAGCTCGCTGAGCGACCTTGAGCTTCCTCATACGGCCAGCAGTGAAGGACCACGTCTCAGATCCGTAAGTCATCACTGGCAACACGCACTGGTTGTATAATTTCGTTTTAAGGTTTTGAGGTATGTCTGACGAGAAGATGTGTCGTAGCTTCCCGAACGCTACCCAGCCGAGTTGAATCCGTCGATTGACCTCTCAGTCGAAGTTGGACTTACCTAGTCAGACTATTTGTCCCAGGTAAACACACTCGTCAACAACTTCGAGATTAGTGCTCCCAACAACTACCGGCATAGGTGTGACATGGACATTAAACATGATCTTTGTTTTGTCCATGTTCATCTTAAGACCTATCCGTTGGGAAGCACTATTGAGGTCATTGAGCATAGTGCTTAGGTCTTCCAGCGATTCTGCCATAAGGACTATATCGTCGGCAAATCGAAGGTGAGTGATGTACTCGCCATTGATGTTAATACCGTGTCATTTCCAGTCCAAAAGCTTGAAAACGTCTTCCAATGCAGCGGTGAAGAGTTTCGGGGATATAACGTCACCCTGTCTTACATCTCTCTGCAATTGGATAGGTTTCGTACTCTGGTTCTGTACTCGGATAGCCATCGTAGCTCTACTGTATAAGCACTTCAGCACTTCGATATACAGAAAGTCAACTTGGCACCGCTGAAGGGACTGCAGCACTGCCCAAATTTCGACGGAATCAAAGGCTTTCTCATAGTCCACATACGCCAGGCATAGTGGCAAATTGTACTCCTCGGACTTCTGTACATCTTGCCGAATGGTATATATGTGGTCTATGGTGCTAATGCCCTTTCGGAAACCGGTTTGTTCGGGAGGCTGGAAGACGTCAAGTCTGTGTGCGAGACGATTCGTAATGACTCTCTAAAACAGCACGTAGACGCGGCTCAGAAGGGAAATCGGTCTGTAGTTCTTCAAGAGAGCATTGTCACCTTTCTTGAATAACAAGACCACCGCACTTCTGCTCCACGCCTCCGGTGTAATACCACCATGGAGGACGGAATTAAAGAGCCTCTGAAGGACTTCCAATACCGGTTTTCCACCCGCTTTCAGAAGCTCCGCTTTAATTCCATCCTCGCCTGTGGCCTTGCCGTTTTTAAGGTGCTGGAGAGCCATTCTAATCTCGCTCAGACTGACGTTCGGCATATCTTCGGAATAGTGTCGGATAAGACTCGCTCTAGGATCGTTACTCACACTTGCGTGTGGCTCCAACGATGACGTGTACAGCTGTCCATAGAACCTCTCAATCTCACTTAAAATCTCAGGTGCCCCGGAAAACGATGCTGCCACACTCGGTCTTCAGTTTTGACAGTTGGCTCTTTCTGGCAGACAGATCTCTGGCAAAGACTTTGGAGCCTTGGTTCCGCTCGATCGCTTCTTCAATACAAGCTGTATTGAAGTTGCGTAAGTCCCGCCGCATGCATTTGGAGATCTGTCTGTTCAGTTGCCTGTATGCTGTCAAATCTGTTGAAGAATGTAGCTTCATCTCCCGTCTAGCAGCCGTGAGATTAAGAGTGTGATCGGAGCGTTTTTGTGTTCTTCTGCGGCGGGTCTTGCAGAAATTAGCTCCGACCGCATGGACAGTTTGCACGAGCTTGTCATTCATATCGTCCACTTCATTGCAGTCTTCTAGACACTGAAAACGGTTTTGTAACTCGATCTTAAAGGTTTCAGGGTTTTGGATCAGAGCACGAGGGGGATGGAGCGTTGACTTCATTAGACGAGACCTCTCCAACTTAACGTTTAGGTTCAGTGTGCCTCTAACCATTCAGTGATCGCTTCCAGTTTTCACCCCCGCGATCACGGAGACATCACTGAACAGTTGTCGTCTGGTCGTCTTAATGAAGTCAATCTAATTTTTGTCGAACCGTCGGGGCTCGACCAGGTCCATTTCCTGAGGGGCCGCTTCTGGAAGTAAGAGTTCATCATAAAGAGTCCCTCTTTCTCCATGAAGTCGGCCAGCTGCTGCGAAATTTGGGCTTTCCTGCAGCAGCAAAAGTGCAGTTACTAGAGGACCTAAGCCCTATGCCCAATGATCTCAATAGTAAAAGCTTTTAAAAATTACTTCACAAATATCCGCTATATAAAATAAAATGATGTGTCTTAACTAGTATGAAGAAAACCTCCCGCCCTCTCTCAAATGCGTGCACTATCCCCGTCACCACTAATCCCTGCACCACTACTCCCACCACCACTACACTAGGAAAAACACATCAATGACGATAATACGACACGTGTTTCGCCTCTACATGAGGTATCCTCAGGTGATGTAGACTCTACGGTGGCTGACCGTTAAAACCTTCATA